TTAAATAATAAGTAATTAATTTAGTAAATTAAATTTAATATAAAACCTTTTATTATTATAGGGTTAGGCGTATAATGCTAACACCGTTATACTAAGCCTTAACTAAAAGGTAAAAAATAGACCGTAATTCTATTTGGAATAGAATGACAGGATGCACGCATATATACTCAAAGTCACAATATACCCTGTAATACTACCTCCCTTCTTTCACGGCTTTCCCAAGTTAAGGTACGCGGTACTATGGCTGAGCTATCTTTCCGATCTTTTATCGGTTACTCTCTAATTTTTTATCGGGTACCGCGGGGTATATATACTATTTAAAAGTTCTACAGTACTTTCTAATAGGTTACGTCGTGTATTGGAACCTCGCTTCTACAATACTACTACGGGGAATTCAACCTACAATGTTCCTACCGTTAGATAGAATTAATTATTACGGGGTTAGGCGTATAATGCCAATACCGTTACACCAAGCCTCAACTAAAAGGTAAAAGATAGACCGTAATTCTATTTAGAATAGAATAATAAGATGTACGCATATATACTCAAAGTCACAGCATACCCTGTAATATAAGGGATTTTTTGAAGGTTCGGAGGGGTTTAAACTTATCCTTTATAATAATATTAATAAGGTACTTAATAGTTCGGATACGCGGTACGATTTCTAGTGCAATTAAATAAATATTTTTATTTATTGGTAGGTTGGAGTTTTAGGATTTATCATCCTAAAAAATATTTAGAATATTAATACTTTCGTTTAATATTTTTAAAAGAGTACCTTCGTTAATAATAATAATATTACTATTTAAAATTATAGGCTTTACCAAATTCGGCGGATTATAGGATTTTCGGCGATTAATAGTATTGTAAGATAGTATTAAAATTGTACTTTCTTTTTATAGTAAAGTACACTTGTTATAGGGTATTCTGGGTAAATACCTAGATGCTCTATCTTATTATAGCAACCGCTCATTAGAGCGCATAATCTACTATATAAGACTACTCGTCCTATTAACCTCTGTCAAGGTTGATGGATCATTAATACATATTATACCAACCTTACAGCTATCTTACTCACACTTAGTAAAGTCGTGTGCGAGGTCCCAGGTTGAGGCTCGCGACAGCTCTTGTCTTTAGTTTCCTTTAATAAGACTGTCGTTAATCGTTACGCACTATTGCTCTGTCCAGCAACCAGTTGCTCACTTTATCTTTCTCTATTGTCATCACTTGTAAAACACATCTTCGTGTAACAACACTTGTAGTCTAATAGTAAAGTGTAATTAATTATTACGGGGTAAGGTAATATTAAAAATATAAGGTAGAATACAATTTATATAATTGTATAATAAGGAAGGGAAATTATAGAATTTATATATAGTAGTTTATCCTATATGGGCGAAGGTGAATTATATTCTTAATATATGTAACCGGAGCCTCTAAGAGCGTATAGCTAATTAGGGGGCTTGTGTGGGCCTAGTAGCCGTTATAGTAGTAGTGAGGTTAAACGGATTAGTTAATTAGAAAGCTTGTATTAACCGGCAATTATAGTTATAGTAATACTATAACTAAATAATAGTTATAGGCTAGCCCTATAATAGGTTGAATGTTTGTTATAAGAGACTAATCTTTAAGCACTTCTCTCTTAACTTAAAATTCGAGCTCTGATTAGAAAAAACTATATTTCAATTAATTTGAAACAAAAACGAAGAAAATATATTTTAAACAAAAAGAAAGAAAATCTCCACATAACATTTGAGTATACAAACTTCTATATTATTATTCGATTTTATTCTTTTAAATATGAATAATAATTAACTCTTAAATACCAACTTACTTACTAATAGTTAAACTCCGTGAAAAAAGGTATATTTACTCTTTTTATTTGAATTTATCTTATTAATAAAATTATTTCCATATTAAAACTATATTAAGGTTAGGGTTAATTAAAGTTGGAGTTAGTTAGAATGGAATTAATTAAAATTAAGATTGGTTAGAATTAGTATTAGTTAGGATTAGAATTAGCTAGAATTAAAATTAATTAAAATTAAAAGTAGTTAGTACAATAAGTCTACTAGAGTATTGATAACGAGTAGTTATATATAGTTGAAATACTATATTTGATAAAGAGAGTAAGAAAAGACTATATTAGAAGACTATAGTTGAAAGAAGGTTTTATAGTTAGGTATATGGACTAGGCAAATATATAGATTTAGTTAATTAGAAGGCTCGTATCCTTATTAATATAGTTAGTTCCCAGCTTACGAGACTTAGTAAAGCCGAGTTTTTAATCCTAGGCGCTAGCCCTATATTAGTTAGAAATTAAGGTTAGTTAAAATTAGGAGTAATTAGGGTTAAACTTAGCTCTAAGGGTATAGAAGGCTAGCGAGAAGCCCCTATTTGTAAATGGATTATTTTTATTTAGGGTAATTAAGGTTAGTATTAACTACGAGAGTGTTAGGAGCTGGCGAGGCTTCTCCTAGTAAGTATATTATTCAATATCACGTATATGCAATATATAATAATAGTTTTGTATATATATATATATATAAACATATGTATATAATATATTTAATATAAGTAATACTATTATTTTAAACTACTTTTTATTACTTTATATTAAGCTTTTATCAAACTTCGTACCTAGACGTTTTACTATCTTCCTTAGCTCCCTTCAACTCCAGCTAAGGAATAATCACCATTCTTTTATATATTACGTACTTTAATTTCTATGATATATAAATATAACCTTATGTTATATTATTTAGTCTTAAAGGTACATAATAACTATAACATAAGATAGTAAAAAAGTAAATATGTGCTAATTAAGATTAAACATTTATTATAAGAAACTATAATACACTACTGTTACTTACATGAAATTGAATATCTAATTTGATATCCTTTCTTTCTCTCCTATTTCTATTATGTACCTCCTGCAATTCTGGTATGTCAGCTACTTAATCATTCCTGGTACCATTTAATCTGTCAATGCCTCTTGCTTGATTACCTAGGTAACCTCCACACATTAACCAGGACCATCTCAGGTAACCAGTCATTGTACCGACGACGAACGACCGCCATCCCACCGTCGTTCTCCTTGCATCATCGCCTCCATATTTATACCTTAGAAGTGAACATGACCGAGCCAGAATCCTTCAATCGACCAGGATCTGCCGCTGCCGCTGCCGCACGTTATTTCACCACCTCAAGTCCCCGACCATCCGTCGCAAGTCGGACGAGTCGCTCCAGTTTACGGCGAGAGCACGACGTACAGACAGACCAGCTTCAACCTCAAAGTCGTCGCCTGTCGTCAGCACAATCCCATAGCCCGTCTCCTCAACCACCCCCTAGCGTCGAGGAGCACACGTTACCGGGAATTGACCAACAACAGCAACCACAACAACAAAAGGGAGAGGAAGGGAGAGAAGAAGGTGGTGGGTCCCAACCATCGTTCACTCCCTTCTTCACCCTTCTTTCTTCCAGCACCCACTCCTCCCAGCGCCAGACCATCCATCATCCGACCGTGCACTACGTCTTTGCTGACGACGACCCCGACATCCTCACCGCTGCACTAGCGTACCATCACCAGGAAAGAAGCGAACAAGATGCCCCACCAAGTCCGGACAATGATGAAAGACTCTACAACAAGGAGCCGAGAGATCGCGCCGTTATTCTTGATGTGGCGCCCTCTTCCAACGGCAATGGGCTCCAAGTGGCATGGGCCAGTAGCCTGTCTTCCGACTGGGCAGTGGTCTCGGCACAAGTGATGCGCATGGAAGATCAAGCCAGCAGTGGTAGTGCCAATGCAGCAGGAGGGGTCTTTGCAGCTTCTTCGCCAAGTCTACATACTGGTCCTTCAATGCTCAAAATTGAAGGAATAGCCATCGATCCATCATCGTCGTCGTCATCATTGCTATCGTCATCGCGTTTGGGCAGCGGCGGGAAATTGTCGTCCACTCCAGAAGGTGATTTGCAGTCTTCTCTGACGGGTAAGGGTAAGCAAGCTACGATGGCACCCCCTGCACCCGAGGACTACGCGGCTTTGCTGCAAGACTTTGAGAGGCGTATCGGAGTGTTAAAGAGGGTCGCCGAGGCAGGTTCAGAGAGGCAACGGCGTATATCCTCTATGGACAACCAAGGCTTCGAACGTAATCACGGTGGTGGCGGAGCTAGCGGGAAAGGGGACAAACTTCTTGCCGAAGTGCGAGAAGGTGATGATTTACGTGCTCAGGATTGAGTGAAGAGCATAGGGGGAGGGGGACCGGGCGGCTGTGGGTTTTGGGTGCTTGGGGTATATGGCCCTCTGCTAGGACTCTAACGGGCTTGGTTTTCTTGGGGCCCACTTGACAAATCCAGGCAGTCTCATCCTCATTATTTTCTACCAACCTTTAAAGGGCTTCCTTCCTATTACATGATACCGAAGGACGTACCAAGCTATGCAGCGTCGAACGGTGCGCTGCACTTAGTTCCGGTTGGCATATCGTAAACTATCGTCCTAGGATAACATGAGTTTCCTGGAAGTTCAACACTGTAGGGCACATGGCGGTTACTGACATTTTCTGAAAACATCTGATACTGTTGGAAGTAAGATCTTGTTCATTATGAATGCCTTGGCTGATGTTTAAACACCGAGGTTCCGAAGCGAGTATGAGGTTTCACAATATGGCATCGTCGAGCAGAGTTTACCAGCAACTCCTGCCTAACCTTCGCTACGATCCTCTTCGAAGCAAGACACATGATTCAAGCGGCCACTCACTTGACCGCCCGATTCCTTCCGTTGTATATCCAACGGCCAACCTGCGTGCAGAAGAGAACGCAAAATACATGACAGTAGAAACGAAGAAACCGCCCCCTCTTAACTCCACAAACTCATGTCGATCCCCAGAGATGCAAGGGAGAAAAGGCGCAAAAGATAGATTGCGAGGTTGCAAAGCGTGCGCATGGCCAAACCCGACATTGCAAAACCTGATATCGCAAATAGTTGAGGTAAATGAGAGCAATCATTTGCCATCCTTCGCATCGTTATGATGACCCGGAACAAACTTTTTATGGTCTGCCACTTGGCCGCCTCTCATACTTTCCAGAATTTCGTCCGTGATGACGAAGCGCTTTCCGGCCCTATGGGGGCCGCGAGAAGCCACCGCGTTATTCTGTTCCATAAACTCGAGGATTTCGTCTGTGATTACAAATCGTTTCGCGTTTGTCGCTCCTGCAGGTGCTTGTTTGTAGGGCGAAATGATGCGGTCGAACCCTTCCGGTGAGAGCCTCTTAACAAGAGACTCCGAGTCGGCACTATCAGGGACGACGTAGTTTGACTGTCTGTGGATACGAGAGATGGGGCCGGCCATGGGAGCGGCAATCTGGATAGCTCGGGCGTTGTTCATCTGCAGATCATCGGTAAAGCTTCGTTGCAGAAGACCACGCTTCGTGTTTTGCGCCGGTCGATTTCCGCCGCCTGGAGGGTGGGTGACGACAACATATACCACCACAATGATAACAATCACAACGATAATGGCCACTAAGGAGAAAGGAATTAGTTACGGTTCTCTGAAGCACCGAGCTGGAACGCCACCGCATCAGCAAACACTTACCGCAAATACCCAAGCACATCCACTTCTTCTTGCGGGTGGCCCGCGCCGTCTGGACAGCCACTGCAATCTCCTCATTGCCTTTGTCGAGATTGTCAACCACCTCCTCACTCGTCTGCTCAATAGCTTGAATCTTGACGTCCTGTTCCACAATCAACGTGTTCAACTGCTCAAACAGCTGCGCCAACTCGACCATTTGTTGCTCAATCCTCTGCAAAGCCTTGTGACGGTCCTGGACAGCACTGAGCACAGCTCTCGCCTCGCCCACGCGATTGTTCTGCATCAATGCCTGCTGGAAAACCTGCGAGTTTCCGGTAGTGTCCTCGACGGCGGCCTTGACCTCGTCCTCAGTCGCATCGGGGCGCACAATGCGGTACTGGCGGGCCATCTGCTCCTGCATCTTCTTGCGGAACGAGGATTCGACGCCCTGATAGTCTTGAATTGCTTGTCGCAACCGGCGGTCAACGCGGCCAACCTGGGCCTGGTTGCGAGGCTGGCGGCCCTCAGGGCTCGACTTGATTTTGCGGACGCGATCAGTTATGGTGCGGTACAAGGCCATGGTCTCCGTGTTGAGGGTGTCTAGCTGCCGACTCGATGAGCTAGCGGATGAATCCGCCTCAGCGAGGCAGCGGTCCTGCAGTCTTCGTAGCTCGCGTAGATTTGCTTCGATTTGCTCGATTCCATTGTCGATGTCTCGACACTCGTTCAGGATTGCAGTCGGGTCACCGCCATATAAGCCTCCAGTGGTAATTGAGCTCATCTCCATATTGTTTCCTGATACGATGCAATGGTTAATCTGGTTGTGCTTTTTGACACTTGTCTTATGCTGAGCTCACCTCCATAATTGCCTCCGGCGTAGGGGGCGGGAGACTGGTCCCTTTCACCAAGCGGGGAATAAGCACCAGCGGCACCATCCCGTTGGTCGAAGGAAGGATCTCTTCCACCGTATCTATACCGTAATCGATATCAGTAAGCAACACGGCACGGTGATAGCGTGGTTATTCGGCGTGTCAGGTAGACGAACCCGTACTGATGGTTTTCCATTGTTAGCGATACATTCAGAGAGGATGGCAGTGGAAGCAGAAAGATTGGTAAGAAGGAGGGAGGCCGACACTCTTGAGATCCGAATTGTCTGGGGCGAAGCAACGTATCGGTGGAGTCATGGTTCTGTAGCAAAACGGTGGATTTGTGAGGAGAATATGTTTTGAAACACTCACACTCATCTTGGAAGGCGGACGCGCACAGGCGCTGACGCTCAAGCAGGCGCTTTAATTAAAGAGGAGATGGATGTTATTCAGATTGATGTCGAGATGAAGGTATACGTGGGTAATGTGACTTGAAAGTGACGATGCTTGATGAAAGCTTATGCCGACAAAAAAATTAAAAAAAAAAAAAAAACGATGCCAAAGATGGTGTACTGGAAATCGAGATAAAGAGAATGACTAGGTAGGAAAGAAAACTAAAGGATGGGAAATTGGCTGTTTGGTAGGAGAGGGAGAACGGGACCTCGGACTTGCTGTGAAATGGGTTTGGTTATTTTAGGGCAGCACTGCGCCTAGTGAAGGATCCAGGCAATGTACTGTGTAGGAAGGAGCACAGGAGCCCAAGCAGCGTAGGATTCTCAGGAGTTGATCGAAACGGGCCTAGTGCTACCTACTCCCTGGCCCATACGATTATTCTACATGGCACAGGTACACAGTAGCCTAACAGTCCAGGCGTTACTATTCGTATACGTCGGGAAGTACATGTGGGTGGCGAGCACACGAATGGGCAACGGAAGTGCTGGCAGCATTGTTGTTGTTAATCATTTCTTTACACTGTGAGAAGCGCACTGTATGCTTGTTTAGGATCAGGAACTGTTCTTGTAAATGGATGGTTGGCTGGCTGGCTGGTTGGATGGTGAACACCCATCCGACTATAATATCCAGCTGTTTGCCAGAATCAAAGTCCAATGTGCGACTCTTCCCCATGCGACTTGACAGTAATGCATCAAACTCCTCAAAACGTGTACCACCCGTCAACCTCTTGTCGGTACGCTGAGATATGCCGGTAGACTAAAAAGGGACGACCTTGAGACGAAACGCCTACTACAGCACAATGTCCACAAAGATGAGACGAGCATCGACGTTTTTTCAGGGGACCCGAGCATATTGCATGGATTGTGTTCAGGAACGCACATTTGGGTGGAGCTGTTGATCATTGCGCCGCCATGGCCTAGATGCCTATGATTCGTCAAACTTGGCCCGCCTGGACCCGCCTGTTCCGTCTTTGGTACATACCTAGTGTACAAGGCTCGAGTAGGGGCTCGGCTCAAGTCCGACAGGCATCTGGGCAACTCTTATGTGTAGTGTAGTGCATACACTGCGTTTTGTAGCTTGGACTTTGCACCGAGTTTGAATCGAGAGTTTCAGACCCAACATCGACAGAACACATGGTCCGAGTATATTCTTGAGAGCCTGTCCTGACTGGTTTCCTCGGTATTTGGTTTCATCT